ATGGTATGGTATGGTATGGTATGGTATGGTATGGTATGGTATGGTATTATGGTACATTTGATAGTTTGAATGCAGTCTGTCCTGAGCTCCGTACCTCCTGTTGAACTGACATGACTCCACACAAGCAACTGGATATCTCTGGACTGACTGCATTCAGACAACCAAACCTATGCAGGTAAAAGGGGTCCACTTGGTGGTTTAAATGAGAGGGGCGAAAAACATTTTCTATGCGCAGTTCATATCAGTTTTCAGCACTCTGCAGATAAAATTGGGTTTTTAAATCAGATATGAACAATGTCTCAGATTGAAACCCATTTCTTAATGTTAACCCGACTTCTTGGCCTTATAGCTGCTGTTACAAAGAAGAGATTGAAATATCACATTGGGCCATGGGACACACTTTCAGGAATACGGTATGCCATCAGTTGGTCCTAATTTCTTTTGTGTAAATAGACTTAAGAAGAAAACCCTACTTAGTGCTTTTTATTGAAGAATGAAAAGTGTTACTTTTATTATTTAAGATTACTTAAGTTTTAATTTTTATTGAGCAGTTTTGATGCATAAGCAATTTTTTGCATGATGGCTACACCTAATCTAAGTTTTGATGCAATTACTTGCAGTTTCATTTGGGTCAAAGTAGGCTAGCCCTGGTTCAGTTAATGTCTCGTTCATCTTTTGAAATGCTTCTTTGTGCATTTTGTCCCATTTGAACTCTTTGTCTTGTCAAAGAAGTTGTCTGAGTGGTGCACTCACCTCAGCGAGATTTGGTGCAAACTCTACAAGATAATTCACCGTGTCTAAGATCGTCTCCAGTTCTGCTTCATTTTCCAGCAGTAGCATGTCGTGAATTGCTTTCACCCTCAGAGGATCTGAACTTGTGTCCATCGTAATTGACTTCATACACACAGATGTAGCACTTGTCTGGGTTGAGCTTTAGAGCTCTTTTTCTGATTTGGCTGAGAGTGGCTTGACAAACTGCTGGTGCTACACTGGGGTCTATTCTGAAACTATCCACTCATCCTGAAATGCACCAGTGCTTTTGAAAACATCAAAGTATGGTACTCGCTCAGTATGTCATTTGGCTGGATGGTTTTCTCTTGGTTGCTTGCAGTGGAGATTGCATACACAATATTTACTAGCTCAAAGGCATTGCAGGTTTTGTAGTTCAGAATTGGTGGTTTCTAGGTCTAACAGATATTTAGTGTCATTTACATCCAAAAGAGAGAGGCTTTACTTTTGTTTCACAAGTACCGCATTTTTCGGACTATAAGGTGCACCGGATTACAAGGCGCAATATCAATGAACAGGTCTGTTTTCATATATAAGGCGCACTGGATTATAAAGCGTATTAAGCAAAACAAAACAGTCAGATAAGTCAAACTTTATTCAACTCCTTCACAATAACCACATATAATCAGTTCCAGGTCAGTAAGCACAGCCAGTATTAATACATAAGGCGCACCGGATTATAAGACTCACTGTCGATTTTTGAGAAAATTAAAGGATTTTAAGTGTGCCTTATAGTCCGAAAAATACGGTACACTGTAGTCACTCTAAGATAGACATGGTTATGATGGATTTAGGTGGTTTTAGAAATAGGACCAAACAAACAATTCAAATACTGGAGAGCCAATGTATTTCTTTCAGATAATGAAGCAAATCAACAGGAAATAAGACAAGGCTTGACTGATTATATTACATTTAATGACAAGGATGCTGTAACACCTTCTATCCTGTGGGAGGGAGCTAAAGTGGTGCTGAGGGGCACAATATAATTGCACTTTCATCAAGATTTAAAAAGAAAAGAATTTCAGAACAAACAAAATTGGAAAATAAGATTAAAAAAAATTGGAGAGGGAGTATCACCAATTTTAAAAGGTTGAAACACTTAACACACTGAAGGAGAATAGACAGAAATGGAATGAGTTACAGACTCGAGGGCCAGCTACATTTCACTGATCAAAAATACTACAAATTTGGTAATAGAGCAAGCCGACTCTTAGCATTCCAGCTACGTAAAGCACAGTCAAACAGAGTGGTCCATAAGATAAAACGTCCTCTTACTGGGGGACTGTATAACCAGCCTGAGGATGGTGCAAAAGCCTTTGCTAAATATTATCAAGATTTATATAAGGAAGAAAAACAGCCAGATATGGATGAAAAAATTAAACAATTTCTCAAATTAATTAACCTTAACAGTCTGAACAAGATCTGATGACGCAACCTATCAGGGAAGGTGAATTCAGGAAGTTGGGCTTGTACCCAAAGCACGACCTTAAATCCTTTAACAAAGAGAAAGTCCGTTTTACGTTGGACAATAGTTAATTTAACAAGCAGATCCCCACTTTGTATCAATCATCCTTAAATGCCCTGAATATTTGTCAAAATATTATAATTTCTCCTTCATTTCAATTTTTTACTCGACCATTTCTGAGTGGCAGCAGGTCTTTGGATAAATTGCAATGAAGTACATTGAAATAGAGAAAATAACTGCCATGCAAAATATTTAATTTAACCCTTAACAGTCTGGCTTCTTGGAAACAACGATAAATAATTAAGACCTTTGCATATAAATGTGCGTAATATACCGTATTTTTCAAACTATAAGGCGCAATATCAATGGACTGGTCTGTTTTCATACATAAAGCACACAGATTATAAGGCATATTAAGCGAAACTCATATCTTTTTTTTGTTGTTGTTGTTGTTGTTATTTTTGCTTTAGTAAGAGCCTGGTAGATTATTTTTAGTCTATAAAGTTACTTATAATTTCTTGGAGGAGACCAACCTCCTCAGACTTGGGGTGAGTTTTGTGTTCACAGCTTGTCTTTGCTACCATCAAGTGGACAAAAAGACGAGAGACGCAGGTTTAATCAGTGCTTGGTGTGTAGAAAACATGCAGATAAATAAGATGCTTGTTAAAAAGCTGTTAAGTGTGGTTTTATTCCAGGTCAGGTCAGGTGTACAGGTATGTAATATTATTTTATCTCATCTCAATGTTAGGATGTCCAAAGGAATTATTTATTTAGATGACATGAAAACTATGTCTTTTCTTGAAACGATGAGCACTTAAAATAATATTTTTCTAAATATCTTGCATGTTCAATCAGCTCCTAACACTGTAGCAGTATACTTTCAGCTGCTTTTAATTTGAAATCTGCTGCTTTTGTTTAAGCAGAATAGAAAATGGCTGAAATGTGCTCTGTTCAAACCTTTTGATTCTCATTTAGTGGCGTTTAAATGACTTTACGGGTCCTGAAATGTCTCAGAGCCGCTTCTCACAGTTTTATAAAGTAGTGCATCGACAGTTACACATTTAGATCAGAACTGGAAGTTGTAGAAAAAGACCTAGTGTGTTTACACCAGGTAACGTCTTTAACCTGCTTAAACAAGCCACTATATGGACTATAAGGCGCATTAAGCAAAACAAAACAGTCAGATAAGTCAAACTTTATTCAACTCCTTCACAATAACCACATAAAATCAGTTTGGTGTCAGTAAGCACAACCAGAATTAATACATAAGGTGCACCGGATTATAAGGCTCATTGTTGATTTTTTAGAAAATTAAAGGATTTTAAGTGCGCCTTATATCATGAAAAATACGGTAATATTCCTTGATCTTTTCCGTTGCTGTATTTTATGAATGATGGATAAAAAATGGATTTGAATGTTAAAACAGGCTGTGGTTGAGGTGGAGGTGATGGATCACTGACAGTTATGGGATGAAACGTTGAAATGATAAACGTCCAGAAACCTCTAAAAAAGTTAAATCTGGTCCTCTGGACATTCAAAAAACAAAACAACAAAAAAAAAAAAACATTTTTGAATGTCCAGAGGACCAGATTTAACTTTTTTAGATTTTTCTACCTGGATTATTGAGCATGCATCAGGATAACATCCTGAAACGTTACTCACTTAAAAGTTAATAACTCAGGGCACCTGGTGTCATGCTAGGTTTTCTGCACTGTAGTTTATTATAAAGACACATCATGCTTCTGATAAGTCTTGAAAATATAAGTAATTTTTAACCTTTTTACATCTGGAACGTGAAGTTTAATGACTCAGTCAGAGAGATGGTCGTCACAACTCCAGGAAACGACACACCAGAGGTAGTTTGCTTCTTTTTGTGTGCGAATCATCTGAGAAAATTAAACCCAAACTGGAAATATGTGTTGTGCATCCATTGGTTCATACAGATCGGTGAGTTTCTCTGGTGTCGCTGCAGAGAAGGTGATGACTTACCAAGATTCTGGTCTGTTGCTGTTTATGGCTGTCGATGAATGGTAGCTGGAAGCCGAGGTGGTCGCACAATCTTTCACTGTGAGGACATAACTGCAACACGTTTTATTACAACCATTCATTCAGGAGCCCAGCAGCACCCTGACTGACTGAATCCCTGGGTAAGTGGGTTTTTCATAGTAACAAAAAATATGTGGTTTTAAAAAGCACACCACTGCATTTTGTCCAAAGACTACAATACAAATTATGTAGTTTTTGGTTTTAATCAACTAAAAGGGATCTAATCCAGTTACCTTTAAATAAAATATAGATTTCCAGCAGAAATGTTAACTTTATCTGCATTCCTTCCTGATCAGAGGATAATTGTAGTGAAGCTTAATGTTACAAAGTGCAATTTAAAGCAAAAATATATAATATTTATATTGCTAAAAAATAACATAAAGCTGTTGCCCCTCAGCTAGAAGGATGCAGGTTCACCTCCTTTTCTATGGGCGAAGTTCTCCGGGTGCACATGTGGCTTTCTCCGAGTACTACAGAATGTAATAGTGTAATCGAAACTTGTGCTGTTTTGATATTTCTCTAATGTAATCCATGACATTGGTCTCGTTTGTTTTCTCCAAGTTTTATTTCCATTACAGTTTATAATCGTCTTCATAGGACTGGATAAATGGCACCGCAGTGCAGATCCCAGCATGATGAACAACTCTCACAGAAAACACATACAGCACCTTTTCAGCATCACTAAAATATTCTCAATATCCATAATAATAATACTAAACTTACCAAGATTTTCAGTTTTCATTTACAAAACACAAAGACGACACACAATAATATATATATTTTTTATCATACAGAAACTTTTTGTTTTACCGTTTTTTTTTATACCTTGATCTTTTTTTATTCCCACAAATTCCATACTTTCACATACAAACATTTACAGTTTCCACAAACAGTACACTGAATTTTAAAGAGAACTTACATTTAGAGAACATTTTTTTAATCAATTAATAAACAGATTTTTAAAAAATAACACACACACACACACAAATGCAAAACCCTTTCTGCCTACAGTGATGAACTCTTGCAGTTCCTGCAGATGGATGATTTCTGGGGTACGTTCAGTCTTTTGTCAGAGTTTATTCAGAATTTATCTGTATGTTGTAGGAGTGGAAAAGACAGAAATCATGCCATGAAAAATACCTTCAACAGACCTTCATGAAAAAGGGAAGTCTGATGCATCAACTGGAACATTCCCAATTAGTGCTGCGATCTTTGAGCCTTTATAAAGTTTTTCCTTCACATCAAAACAATAAATAATAAAATTGCACTATTTAGACAGGGGGGTTAATTCAATAGAGGGTGCTCTTTTGCTTTATTGCTTGCTCTTCTTTATTTTTTTCTCTACAATCACACAAACAAGCTACCAAATTCACCGTTTTGCACATCATTTATGCACATTTTTTTTGGATCTCCCACCACTATTGCCTTTCCCGGCCTCATAGATAAACTACAAGATAGACTTGCTTTGTCTCAAGCAGATATTCGGGGAAATATATTTATATACTTTGTATATTTATGTATATATGTATGTATAAAAGTAATCTGGGTCCAAGGTAAACGAGGAGCACAGTCACCATGAACACGTACTCAAGTTTCACCAAGTTCACCACTTTCTCACAATTACTGCAAGCAACAAGTCTATGTCAACGATGAAAACACGAGTTCCTGCTGTAGACGAAGAAACGACCGGCGTACAAGAAATCAGACAATACGACACAAACATGCGTCAGCATCAGCTGAATACGGAGTGGGCGAAATCATCTTTTTGGATTTAGGACTTTTATTTTTCCTGTTTGGAAACAAAGGAGGCCGTCTTTGACCTGTAAGGGAGCACCCGAGTCTCTCCTTTATTTTTATTTTTAAAAAGAACTAAACAGTTTCTACACTGCATAAGCCTTAATTTTAGTTTTCCTTCTGAATGCTTTCATACCACAGGAGAAAACGTGCAACCTGACAAAGAAAGTTTCTCAATTGTGACGATTTTGTCAGCTCAGGCAAACACACGCTGTCGTTCCACCCAGATGAGAGACACACAAACTTTGTGCTCAAACAATAAAAATCTGACGTCACAAGTTAAATGAAAGGATTGTTTATGTTTGAAAACGGTTATTTTAGCTCAACCTAAAGCAGAAAACAAGCGTTTCTCTCTCAAATCGGAATTTTTGATGAGCTAAGCTTTAAAAAATGTAAACAGGTTTATTTATTAAGGACCTTAGGAGTCAAAAAGTGCCATAAAAAACAATAAATCTGGGGGGAAAAGTGAAAACAAAAGTAGAAATACAAAGGAAATTTAAAAAAATGGTTAAAAAAAAACGTAGTTCATATTTTCTGTACAGATTAATTTATTTTTCATAACGTTTAAATTTCTAAAGTCTACATTTGTCTCTTTTGTGTTATTTGTCAGATAATTAACATTCTAATTATCATATTTTTCAGACTATAAGGCGCACTTTAAATCCTTTAATTTTCTCAAAAAATCAACAGTAGCCTTATCCGGTGCACCTTATGTATTAATTCTGGTTGTACTTACTGACCTTGAACTGATTTTATGTGGTTATTATGAATGAGCTGAATAAAGTTTGACTTTATCTGACTGTTTGTTTGGCTTAATGTGCCTTATACGCCGAAAAATACAGTAACTGACTCAGGCAAGAAAGCCTATTTTAAATAGAATTAAAAATAAATATTAAAAATGTACTGTAAAAAAATAAAAATAGATCACTCAAGCAGAGCTACTATCCTGTAATCAGTAAATAAAATATGTTTCACCTTTATTAGTTTGTAACAGATATTTACAACAATTAAATATAAAATAAAAGTTAATATGAATAGAAATAAATAATTTAATCCAATTTTTATTGATTTGCTACTTATTCTTTAGCAGATTTTTTGTTCTTTTTTACGGCCTCCTTGACTCCGTGAGACAACAGTATTTAAAAAGACATCAGAGGACGTCCCATAAACTCACACACCGATTGTCAACACACAAAAAGATGAGAATAAATGAATTCAGGGTGACGAGGTTGTATAAATAAAGATCAGCGTCCGTTTCAGGGCAGTTCGGTTTGACTCCGAGTCACAGCAGAATAAAATCAGAATCACCCTTTTTGCTCCTCCGACTGCTCCGAACACAGCTTCTTCAGTTTTGGTCCCATTATAATTTGTGCTTATGACTGGAATTAAATGTTATGGCTGCTTTTTATGGCGCACTGTTAAGAAAGCATACAGATTTAGGGTGACCCTATGAGGACTGCACTCCCATTTTGAATCTGAAGACTTTATGTTCGAGCAATAAGCCTCTTTGGGATTTGAGCACGACATTGTTTGATGTAAATTTACAAATTGAAATGACCGCTGTTTTATATAAAAATCTGCTACACGATAAGATGGATCTAAAACGGACTGAAACATTTTGCACATAAAACGATGGAACAGGACGCTGCGACCACTCGGACATATAAACACATGCATGCACAGATCCTTGCACACAAACAGTCATTTAAACTTGTGATATGAAGCTGTTTATCCCCCCTCACAAGGCGCACGTAACGCGCACGCATACACACAACTAATACACACAAAATCACACCACAGCTGACAAAACTCCGTCCCACAGTCGTTCCTGTTTCACTCAGTAACACCAAACTGTCACACAGTAGGGAGGGTAGACACTGGTTTAACACCGAGGAACTGGATCCAGTTATTCCCACGTTCGACGGAGAATCCTGTGAAATGTATCGTCACCTGTTTGAGTATTGAGGCGGTAAATAATAACACTAATATTCATTGAAGTGCATGAATAAATGCAGCTCTGCCGGCAGGTTTTAATAGCCACATTTTGAGCAGAACTCGGCAGGTCTGGCTTCAGTGACAGGCTGCAGGGGAGGATTAATGAGCCTTTTCAGAAAAATACATCAGACCTTCCATAGAAAAATGCTTTGGGAAACGCGCGTGTGTCAGGGTGGGTCTGGGGATGGGAACTGAACTGTTTTATTAACGTCACGGTAAACTGAACAGCAGCACGGCGAGCCCGTCAGGGAGCTCGAAGACACAAGAAAGAAGAACACTGCAATCCTATCTGCAAACACTAAACGAAAAAGTCTCGATCAACCATTCTACCAGTCTTTGTGCTGGGAATTTGTTTACTTCTAGGTGCATATTTCCATTTATATACCACATCAGCCCGTAGTACAAATACCTGCAGCAGTATTCGTTTACCAGACCTGACAGGATGGTTGAAATTATATCCAGGGTGTTGTGATGGTGCCGGTGATCTACATGTTTGCTCTTCTTTTATGGTCTCTGTGTGTAAAGACACTGAATGATGTGATCCACATTTCAAAGGATTCTGGGCTTACATTGGGGGGGAGGCAGTCTCAACTTTTGCTGTGAGACGGACAGGCAGCGTTGAAGCTCTCGGGGATGTTCGGGCTTCTCAAACACACTCTCTTGCGCTGCGCTCTGCTCTGCTCACCACCGGCTGTCCCGTTTTACTGCAACACCTGGCCTCTCGTCTCGGGCAACTTTGTGGCGAGGAAGCTGCCGGCGGCGAGTGCGCCGGCAGCAAATAGGATAGGTACGGCTTTGGTGATGCCAACGAACGACTGGAAGATGCTGATGCCCAGCACAGCCGCCAGTTTGCAGAGGGCGTTCAGGAAGCCGAACGCCGTGGTCCTGGAGGCAAACGCAGAGAGAAATACTGTCATTGTAACGACAGAAAGTGTCATTAAAGTACACTGGTGAAGATTCTCAGTCATCCAGGACATGGTAAATCAAACAAATGGACTTTATTTGTAACTGAAGATGTTTCGATTCTCATCCAAGGAGCTTTCTCAATTCAGTGAAACAAGGAGTGTGGGATTCAAATTATAAAGCTGTGGTGGTCTGTAAGCTTGCACAATGGAGATTGACACATGCAGATTGACCTCTCACTCTGCACAAGCTTACAGAACACCTCAGCTTTATAACTTGAATCCCACACTCTTCGTTTCATTGACTTGAGAAAGCTCCTCGGATGAGAAGCGAAACGTCTTCAGTTACAAATAAAGTCCAGTTGTGTTGGTTTTAACTTTTTTGGGGATTTGTCATTAATGTAGCTTAACTTCCCTGACCAGGTCAACAAACCGAGAATCACCCATGCGGAAAATATTTAACCTTCTTGCCTCGACACCAGTGTTGTAATGTAACAAAGTAGAAATACTTTGTTACTGTACTCAAGTAGAATTTTGACGCATCTTTACTTTACTTTAATTCGTTATTTACATTTCTAGCAACTTTCACTTTTACTCCACTACATTTCCTGAATACATTTTGTACTTTTACTCCAATACATTTCCCTTAACCATCTTTGTTACTCATTCCTACAATATAAAATTGGACGAAATCTGATTGGGCAAAGCCTGTTTATTCTCCCAGTCTGACTTCATTCATGCAGTCTGTCATTCCCCGATCTGTTACGGAAGCACAATCTGTAGTGTATTTCCGGGTCGCACAGATCGCTGTTGTTTTTTGAATAAAAACTGTCTTAATTTACTTAGAAAAGTACATGCTTTATCTTCACTGAACTTCATGTAACTAATTTATGCCACTCGTATTTCTGTTACAAATCACTGATGACAAGTGACGCATTAGACCTGACCCCCAGCCTGGGCTGAATGAGAAAAACCCTGCAAGATACAGAATTAATTATTTTCATGGTGAAACAGCGCCGCTCAGTGGTGAAGCTGAATATCATTTTAACCATGACGTAAATATGTCAATGATTTTAACGGAAAGACGAGTGGCGTAAATAAGCAACATGAAAATTGGCGAAGATAGAGCACATACTTTTCTAAGTAAATTAAGACAGTTCTTATTCATAAACGAAATTATACTAGTACATTTTCCTTAATCTAGCATATTCAACGGTGATTTGTGCGACACGGAAGTATTCCTTTTAACGCATGCACAAATGAGCTAGACTACGGCTCGTGCTTCCATAACAGATCGGGGAATGACAGGGGCCCTTCTCACTTCCTCACTCTCACTCACAAACCCATCCCTTCCCCTGCCACTTGTGAGAAAACTGCGGTTCCTGCAGTGAACACGCTAGATGCAGATATCATTGGTTACAAAAGGTCTTTGTTGACTCACAGTGGAGCCACTGTAAATTCCTGACAGGTGTGAAAATGACGGTAGCTGCTAAAAAGAAGAGGTGTGGTGTTCTCCAGGACATTAACTGCTTTAGAGCAACAAGGTATGAAGTTGTCGGGCCACTAGTCTTCCCATTAAAGATCACAGAGACATATATCCAGTTTGGGTGATTTGCTTGCCGTGTTTCTTCTGGTATTTACACACAGCAGTAAACCAGTAAAGCAGAAACAAGCTTGAACAACAAGGCTCCATCCGTGTCAGGAGAGACAAAAAACCTCCAACTGAGCTCTGCTCTTTACACAGAGTGGTGCGTTCACTAGCGTTAGAACAGCCACGGTGCATTCAGAGTCAGAGTTTCTTTATTGTCATTCGCACCTCATGTGGTACATGTGGTGGAGCAAAATTATGTACACGGGGTCCCAGTTACATCCAACAATAAAATGTATAAGAAAAACAGTATTCAAGTATATTCAAGAGCATAGGAACTATTAAATTCAGAAAGAAACAAACCATAACCAAACAGAACCGAGCTCAGTAACCAAGCCAACACAACATTGTGAGCTTTCTAACAGCTTTGTTAATAAAAGTTACTAAAGTTTGAATAAATATACTTTATTAGAATCAGACTTTTTGAAGATCAATCTTTCATTGTTCAGTTCAAACTTTCCAAGTTTTTGTCACTGGATTTTACACCCAATAAATGTTGTTTGGGAAATTCTAACCATTCACTTTTACTTAATACTCATACATTTTATACGAGAAATTTACTTTTGATAAGTACATTAAATGTCAGATACTTTAAGACTTTTACTCAAGTAATAATTTTTACAGGAGACTTTAACATTTACCAAAGTAATTTTATGGTAAGATACTTGTACGTTCACTGAAGTATCACTTTGAACACTGCTTGACACATGTTGGAACATCTGTTCTCACGTTACCTTTTATCCGAAGGGTAGAGCTCCACCGTGATCACATCCAGGGCGTTCCACGAGGCGATGCTGATGCCACCAAACAGACATAAGAGGGCGATCATCCCCGACTCGCTGTTGCCAAACATCAGGAAGAAGCAGCTGACACAGGAAATGACGCTGGACCCCGCTGTGTGACGACAGGAAGGAGAATCACAGTGTAAAGCAGCAACCTTTTACATCACGTACGCTGCAAAATATTTTATATCGATTACATGTACCCACCCAGCATCCTTAAACGGCCAATTTTGTCCATTAAGAGAGCCGACACAATGTTCCCCGGCAGCACAGCCAGCGTACCCAGGAAGTTGACAAAGTAAATCATGTAGGCGTTGTTGAAGTCGTCACTGAAGTCCAGGATGCAGCCCTCCTTGTTGTGGAGGAACGTGCTGTTGATCAGCTTACAGTTGACAAACCTGTACTTGAATAAGTCTGAGGAGAGAAAAAGAGTGAATCCAAATCAAAACGGAAAAAATAAATATACAAAGAACAACATTCTTCTCACACAGTTTCCTTCAAAACAAGTTTCTCACAACGGAGGTATGGATTAATACAACACAATACCCTGCCTAGATACAAAAAAACATGGGATTTAACCAAACAAGTTGATCAAAGTACTACCGGTATATTAAATAATGTGATTTTAGCTGGTAGATTTAACCCTGACTGATAAAGTGAGCAGCTTCTCATTTCTCAAACAACAAAGTTATATGTTTTTATTAGCACATGATTATAATTTTACAGAATAAGAACTAATTCAAACTAAAACATAAAATGGTAAATGGGTCTTTCTAGCCAATCAGGCTACTCAAAGTACTTTACAACACAATCTGTGCCCTCATTTACCTAACACACATACAGAACTACCCTACAAAGCTAATCTACAGAAACTAATCAGTGCTTTAGACTGCCTGCATCCTCTGATGAGATACATCAGAGGCAATGAGGGGTTCAGGGTACAACTGCTATAGCCACTGAACCACTGAGGCATAGCCGGACATCTGCACTATATTTAACATTTTCAGTCAACAGAAGCATCTATTGGTGATTGGATTGTGGAAATAGGACCCAAACGCAGACACACACGAGTCAACAGAATGTAGTAATGGGTATCATGGCTGTGTTCCAGAATCTGGATCATTTGACTTGGCATCAGCTCATCATAAAGAGCCAGCTCTTTGGTCTCTCAAACAGCTCTTCAGTAAGTGCTTCTTCTAAAGAGCTGTTTGGATGCTGTTTTGGTGAGCTGAGCCTAAAAAGGAATCATTTGAAAAAAGCTAGCATTCCTACAATCAGGTAGGCATCCTGGTGCATGCTCATAGAAAAATCTAAGAAAGTTAAGTCAGGTTCTCTGGACGGATTTAAAAAAAAGTTTATTTTATCCAAAAGACTTCTGTCAGTTTGAGCACTAAAGTCTCATAAATAGCACCTTCTCATAGTCGATCAATCAGTTTGCTGGTGACATCCAGAACTAGTTGTTCTTGTGATAAAGGAGGACCATCAGCCTAACGACCGATCGTTAGTGCTTTGATGGCCGCTTGCTATTCACAGAGGGCTGAGTGATACTAGCAATAACAGCGTTGTAAGAGGGGGACAAATGGACATGGAGGCCTCCGTCCCTGTTCAACAATGGATAGGTTCTCTTCACAAAGATGGCTCCCTTCACTCCTCTCTCAAGCCAACGTTCCTCTCTATCGAGGATGCACATCATCCCTGAAAGAGTGACCACTGGCCTGTAGATGGATGTAGACAGCAGAGTCCTGGCCTGATGATGTTGCTCTTCTGTGCTGGGCCATCCTGTTGGTCAGTTGTTTAGTTTCCTCTGTCAGGTAGGCAATTATGTGAATCGATGACTTCTTATTTTCCAACACAACTAAATAGAGACTGACTAGATTACTGTCCCGATGGAAAGTGGAATCTGGATTGATTGGCTCAGCTCCCAAACAAATGAGAACCATTTGAGCACTAAATGAGTTAGATGTTTAAAAAAAAAAAAAAAAAAGAGGAGACAGAGGTCCCATCACTGTGAACATGGTCCATAGACTCAATTGAAAAAAAAAAACTGACAGCTGAAACACTGAGAAACTGATGAGACTCTGACTAAATGAGAAGCAGGTGTGACAGAACCAGAAAACACAACTGTGAGGATTAACAAGCATACAAGACACTATCAAGACCAACAAAATAATTTAAAAAAAAGACCAAAAACATGACCCCAAGCCCCAAAACAATAGTGCAAAATTTAAACCTTCCAATTCGGAGGTGGTATCAGAGACTGAGAGGGAATTATTTCATGAGAGATGGCAGAAAGGTATAAAACGAACCTTTTTACCAGCTTTTCCTCTTATCCAAGTTGATTTAAAGTAGAAATGAAACATCAAAACATAACTGTTTAATCTCCTAAAACACATTTTATTCAACTAATGTTAATAAAAATGTTAAGAGACAAATAAACTGATTCCTCATTGGGTCATAAATCCTCTTTAATTAGCTTGTACTGCAGTTGGCAGCTGATTAGATGAGATGTTTTCTGGCAGGCAGCAGCAAATCGCTGATTCTAATGTTTTAGATTCACAGATATGGAAGAACGTTTTGCTGGCGTCAAAAATGACAGGACAGAGGCTGTTACTGTCACAAAAACCTAAGCTGAGGCAAAACTGTGACAAGGTGAAGAAACAGCTTGGCTTTGGGTCATTATTGATACGATCGTTGAAATCTCTGGCAGAAAACCATCCCACGAACAGATGAAGATTTTAAACATGTCTGTATTAGTCTTTGTTTCATCCTTCATTTGTTATCCAAATCTTAAAGCCCCTGTTTTTGTCTTTTATTCTTATCTGAGCTGGATTTGTTTGTGTTGCCGTGGTTACAAGTCGTGCCGCTGCAGCGTAACCCATGGTTACCACATCAAAGAGCACTGCTGCGATCGATGAACACTGTGTGTCGTCTCTGCTTTACAGCTGTTTTCAATAAATTACAATAATCTACGTCTAATCTGACCAGCTGGAACTAAAGCCGAAATAAAAACGACCCACTAAGGTTTTTACACGAGGAAGAGTCTCAGATTAGAGGATTTGCTGCCTTTTCTTTTTATTTTAATTTAAAAAAACATTAAACTATTGGTATATTTTAACAATTTCCAGATTTGAAACTCAAATATTTGCTGTATTTTAAATAAAGTAAACCATTCACAGTTTTCTTGTTAGATTTTTTTTTTTTCAAACTACTACTGTATAGTTAAAATGTTCAGCTTTTTCAGTAGATAGGGGGCCATGACTTCAGGTTTTTGTAACTTTTACACTTTTCGGAATACTCCACTTATTTAAATTTTGCCCATAGAAATGCATTGAGATTTCTTAACATTCCTTTAAAAATTGTTACTTTGGATCTTTGGCATGCAATTTGCTCTTGTTAGCTTGCAGCGTCTTGTGTTCTGCATTATGTAGCTTTTAGCTGCTGTCCTTCTTTCAGCTTCACCACCTCAGTTTGGAGCTTCTTCATTGAGCACTCAGAATTTACACTGCGTTTTAACAGAAAACACCATTTCTTTCGTTTTCCTTGCCTCACTGTTTCTCGCATCAATCACATTTTCCCATGACATTCTGAGTTTAAATATCCAGAAGGTCCTCACTGGGCTGGGAAGAATTACACAGTATTCATGAGGGAGTCTCCCAAATGTCTCCAGAAAGCCTTGCGACTGTTGCATTCTCATCATCCTCGCGTGAGTCACAGAGGCCTTGTTGCTTGAGTTTAAAGCAAGTGCAAATATTAGGTTTTCTTTCATAGTAGCCGCAAACTTGTTGTCTCCAACTCGCTTTAAACTCATCTGAATTTTGCCGCAGGTGTCTTCAATATGCCACAAGAGCACTGGAACTGTATTTTGACTCTTACACAGGGGCTGAGGCAAATGTTCAGGTCTAAAACCAAAGCTGATAATAGATAATAAATGGACAAACTGGTTCAAATCTGCCTGTTTTCATTTCTTAATTGTACTCCAGCAGATTTAATCGTAAACACGGGGGCGGCTGCTGAGGTGAGCGGAGGTGAACGAAACCTCTAGTCATGAATTTGATCCGTTCCACAAGCAGTTTGCATGTTTAAAATGTGCATTTTGAACAAAAAATTACCCTTAAAAATAATGAAAATAAACCTGCACAGCGCTCTGTGACAGGTATTTTCTGCTTATGAGCTTAATTTGGGCCTGTTAAAATGACAAGGAGCTCTGTGCGATGAAACAAGCGACAACAAAATCACAAAGGAACAGAGTTTCTGTCACACACGTTTTGAAAGCGTCGCGGTAACGTTACCCTGAATAATCAGGTGAATGAATTCTCAGATGGCTGTATTTACCCGTGTTGTAGAACAAACTGGCGATGAAGGTGCAGTTCCTGAAGAACGTGTGCGTGGAGGTGATGTCCTCAAAGTAGCACTCCTCAAACACAGAGTCCTCAAACACCATAGACTTCATCTTCAGATTGAGGAACCTGCGGACAGTTTTCAGGACAGTTAGACGAGTTTTACACCAGCTGAGTGGGTGTATGACAGATTAACTATAAATCTGAATTACTTGTCATTGAAGTAGTGTCCTTCACGATGAACCTGGTTTTCCAGGGTGAAGTTAAACGTGACGTGCTCCACTCGCTCCTTCGTGAAGGTCTTGGTGCGCGAGTCATACTCCTGCTTCTGGATGTACTTGATCATGTCGGGGAACCACACCGTCAGGCCGTAGTAGCTGCGAGGACGTGAGAGACGGACCAGATGGAAAAAGCACCATAAATACGTTGGCCAAAGAATCGGCGTGAAGTTTCTTGGTCCTTTGGTTTTACCTGAAAGACATGCTGAACCAAACAGCCATGAGCATGAAGGTCGTCCGTTTATATTCTGGGCTGAAGCAGGCGAGAATGTTGTTCCGGATCTGCAACGCACGGGAAGTAAATGTTAGCGAACAGATTTCTGAGGAGCTCATGCTTCTGGAAGAACTTTAATGAACTTTAACTCTGAATTTTGTCGTGGCTTGCAGCAGAAATCAGGCCGATCGCAAATCAAGACGGTGCATACATCTGGTTTAAAGCTACAGAGCAGTGATGCTGCAGCTTTGTGCTACATGATAAAATGTAGATGATTTAATGCATTTAAATACAACATTTTTAAAGTTGGTAACAAAACAGTATTTTTTTTAATCCAGAAGTTGACGTATATCATTGAAATCTCCAGTTTGATTCAACAGATAAGCTCACATTAGCACAATATCCACCATATTTGTAGTTTTAAGAGTTTCACTAACCTGCTGAGAAAGGCTCATGATTTTCAGTCTGTAGCGCTGCCAGACTGGGGTGTCGGTGCCGATGTCCACCAGCTCATCGATCTGCTTCACAGTCTTAATTGTGGTGACCTGCGGTATTAAACATACAAGTTATTTGGAGGTTTGAATAACAATCATAGACTACAAGAGTGATTTACTTAAAATATTCACTGAAACGTCCTCATGTTGCTCTGAGTTTGTATGAATTTGGACACTACTGTGCGAACAAAGAGGAACAGGAGAGGGCTGCTTTTGCTCTAATGTTGTAGCTGATTGTTGCGTTAGCTGATTTAATACATTACATAACAGGACTCATACGTCCGTATGCTCTTTGTGGACTTCACATCCACCTTTAACACCATGATCCCCCAAACACTGATGGACAAACTATTCACACTAGGTCTAAGCCCCTCCATTTGCAACTGGGTCCTGGACTCCTTAACAAACAGACCACAGCCTGTGAAGATCCACTACTTCTCCTCCTCCACCATAACCCTCAGCACTGGCTCCCCTCAGGGCTGTGTGCTGAGCCCTCTTCTGTTCACTCTGTTCACATATGACTGCACACCTACCCATCCAGGCTCTCATTCTGTAAAGTTTGCAGATGAAACAATGGTGGTGGGATGCATCACAAACAACAATGAGTCCAGCTACAGGCAGGAGGTGGAACAGCTGGAGAGCTGGTGCAGGAAGAACAACCTTCACATCAATGTGAAGAAGACGAAGGAGATGATCGTGGACTTTAGACGGAACAAACACACATACCACCCCCATGAACATAGGAGGATCTGTGGTGGAAGTGGTCTCCAGCTACAAGTACTTGGGTGTGCACCTGAATTATAACCACAGCTGGGGCAACAACACCACCATCCTGATCAAGAAAGCTCATCAGAGACTCTACTTCCTCAGGTGGCTGAGACGAGCTGGACTGGGAAGCTCAGTCCTCACCTCCTTCTACTGGTGTGCAGTGGAGAGCATCCTGTGCTCCAGCATCAACATGTGGCATGGAGGCTGCACAGCTGCAGAAAGAAAAGCTTTGCAGAGAGTGGTGAAGGCTGCACAGAAGTCTGTTGGAGTCAGTCTCCCCACCATCACAGACATCTACACCTCCAGATGCAGGAAGAGGACCACCTGCATCATGAAGGACCCCACTCACCCAGCACACACATTTTTGCCCCACTCCCCTCAGGCAGAAGGCTGAGGAGCATTAAGTGTAGAACCACTAGACTGAGGAACAGCTTCTACCCTGAGGCTGTTAGACTCATGAATCTCTAACCAGAATAATAACTGTGAGAGAAAAAAATCACTGTAATCCACTTGAATGTTGATATGTGCTGCTGATTATCCATGTTGCTGTTCTAATGCTGCTGATTTATTTAATACTGTTGTATTCATTCATACTCATCTGCTCACACAGACTCATGTTCGTGCTGCTGTTGTTTGGTGTATTGCTTTTGTACCAGCGTTTAGCGTATTTTTTAGTTCATATCTTAGATCTTAGTACTGTTTTTCTTTACAATTTATACTTTTGTTGGATGCAACTTGGACCCTGTGTACACAATTTCGTTCCACCACATGTACCACATGTGGTGCGAATGACAAATAAAGAAACTTTGACTTGACCTAATAAAAGGTAAGTGTGGTGCAGTTTCCTCATATACTCACTGTAAACACCCTCTCTGGGTGTCCTTTAGCTCTCATGTTTGTGTCGTGGACTTGCTTCAGGACCATCCAGCCCTCATCATGCTTGCCATTCTGATTTAAAAAAAAAATATATATATATATATATATATATATATAATTATCTTATTTTATAGCATCAATTACTCAGGTGTTTGTTTAAAGCAGTTGGTAAGCGAGCCATTAGACTCGTCGGCTGACCTCTAAGTAGAAGCGTGGACTTTCGGGCACGGCGTTGAGGGCAGCGATGGCCGCCACGGAAGGAAACGCACACACTAACACAAACACACGCCAGCTGTGGAACTGGTATGCCGAACCCATCTGGAAACTCCAGCCTGCAAGAATAAACATTGCAGCAGAAAATAATTAGCTCATTAAAACAAGTACAGCTGAAAATGTTCAATTGGCTTCACAATCATGAGTCAAGTTATTATTTTATATTAAAAACTTGGTGCGGCACAAGAAGATCTTTGTACATTTCTCCTCCAATCTTTGTCAGAAGTCAGTTTAGGTGCTAAGAGCTCCAATACTGTCTGTGCTATATATATATAGATATGTATATATATATATATATATATATATATATATATATATATAAAGAGCTTTAAAGAAATAAATGAAATAGAATCCTGATTGGGAGTAGCTTCCCCTGTATTCACTTCATGGGGCTTGGTACCCATGCTTGGAGGGTGGAGATGATGATGATTAACCCGATGTGTTGGCTCCCCCTTCCTGTATCGTCACTGTTACGCCTCGTCAGTCTGTGACAGCAGAATGTTCATGCAAATGTTTGAACATTTGATTTACAGTTAATTATTAGTCAGTCTGGAGTTTGGCTTTAAAAATACTCACATCCTATCTACATAGTCCCTCTGAGCTTGCTTGCATTGTAAGGTTCCTACAGTTTTAACCCTCATGCTGCTCTTGGGTCAAAGCATACCTTTGCTATCATTCATGAATATCTTGTTTCAGATGCCCATTTCTCATCAGAATGCCCTTGTTCCCCAGAATCTGACATGGACCTTGTTAATCAAGGTGACAACTGGTCCATCTGAGCATCATTTCAATGTCTCACACTCAGTGGTGTAGTCTACATTTTTGCAGTGGGTATACTGTGCTTAGAAACCAAAGTACACCGGTTAGTACAATGTAATCGTCAATTTATTTTGTTTTTTAAGCGTATTGAACATTTCCAAATTTCTCTGACGCTTAGATTTAAATGAATGCACAATGAACTTTGTACAACAGTTGGCTTTGTATTAAAAAAAACATGTTATATAATTTATAAAACGGTATCAAAGCAAAACATGTTCAAGCATTAAGTAGTAAGTACAGAGTTATACAATAATTTGCTGGATAAGCGAATGTAATAAACAAGCGCTGCACATAGAGACAGATTGTTACAGAAGCATTTAACTGCCGTTTAACGTATCATGTGCCCACTGAGATGTTACACATCAATGGGCACTTTAAAGTGGGAATACTGACATTCTTAAGCTTTTCTAGTGGGTGTACTTTGTATAGCCACGTATCGGGTAGACTACACCACTGCATGCAACAAGGTTAAGCATAGAAGCTGCACCTGAACCTGCAGTCTGAACCTCTGATCTTCTGATCCAAAGTCATGCGGCGATACCACAGCTTCAATCATCCAGTTGATTTTTTTTAATTATTATTATTAGAGAGGTTGTAAAATATTAGAACCTCAGTGGTGCCAGTGGCTGTGGCACCAATTTGGAATAGTGGCATATCTCAGAACCAACCTCAGAAATGTAAGTCTAGAAGAGCACGGTCTCAGGAACAGCTAAGCCGCTGCAAAAAAAATTACAATTAAAAAAACTCAAGCCCCCAGGCCTCTGGTAGATGACCTGAGCTTGAAGTGAGGTGGGACTGTTCATGTGGGACAAACAAGGCGGGCTATTTATAGATCAAAGTTAAATTTTGCTGAGTTATTCTCTTATGAGTTAACAGTTTTTATTATTCTCGTGTGTTAGCCATGTTAGCAGCCTTTCCTTGTGTTGTGGCAAACAAGTTCAAGAATCTTTATTATCCCCAAGGGGTAATTTGTTTCATAATCAGTATGCACACAAAGCATCCATGCTAGATGAGACATTAAAGTAATAATACATGAAATCATCGCTGTTCGTTGAGAAGCCTGATGTTTTTCACTCTGTTTGTTCTACATCTGGGCAGCAGATTCATTCAACCTTTATTAAGACAGGTTAATCCCATTGAGCCTCTTCATTTACAAGAGAGACCTGATTTCTTAACAAGATACCTGCGTCCAGCAGGAAGCAACCTGAACTCACCATGGAGTGGATGATCAGGATCTGCCAGAATCAGCCTGGCCTTGTTCACTGGCCTCGCCTTGTGTAGGTCAGTGAGGTTGCCATCTAACTTCATAACTTAACTCAAATAACTTCATTGTTACTTAATAACTGCCTGATTAGATGATCTAAATTCATTTTAAAAATGACAATAAAAAGAAATAAAAGGAGCAGCTGTTGAACTGTTTGCCACGGAAAATAAGCGACACAGATTTGGATCGGATCAACGTCTCCATTGTGGCTCTGCACAGTTCAAGCAATGTTTGTGCACTGAGTTAATTCTCCTGCATTTATTTAATGCACCTTAAAAAAAAAATAAAAGCTCACAGACATTTTGTTTTTACGATCCACTAATTACCCAGATGGTGTTTGACAAAAAAAAACTGATGCCTTCTGATATTCCACCCCCACTTTTGGCTTGTTTACAGAATTGAACAAATTACGGCACTTTCACAAACACAACCAGTTTGTGTCAATGACTCACACTGAGTGGGCGTTAAAAGTGCCTTCATTGTTAATAAAGAATTGTTAAATACGGTTGAGATGCGTTCAAAGTACGTTTAAACCTGTGGTGGAGGCATCAGATATTGAGAAAGCAAGAAGGAATTCAGTTTCAAGCTGAAGATGTTATTAAAACTTTTAAGCTGTGATTTTATTTTCATGCCTACCGTAGTGTGGGATGATGGCCCAGGCCATAGCTGAGGCGTAGATTCCCCCGATCATCCAGAACATGCAGAGCCAGCTGAGATGCTCGCCGCGCTTCTCCTGAGCCAGAAACTCCGAGTAGTAGGAGAACACGATGGGGATTGAACCACCGATCCTGTAAGATTCAGAGACCAGCTGAGTAAAGGTTGCTGAGACGCTTACGTTCTTTAAATTAGACGTTAAACTCATCATTTCTAAACTGAATAATCTGAAACGTGTGTAAAGAACCTTTAAATCTTAGTGTTTAATATTATAGTGACTGGTGAAAGAACAAAACACAACCAAACAAAATAAACTCGTATTTTTTAATGCGATCTGGATGAGCATTAACATTAAAACAATGGATGTAAAATGTGCTTTATTTTTCTCTGTCTCTTGAGGAAAAGTTTCATAAAACATCTAATGGGGTTTAAAGGAACCCTTTAATGTAAATTTAGAGTCAGAGTCAGAGTCAGAGTCAGAGTTTCTTTATTGTCATTCGCACCTCATGTGGTACATGTGGTGGAGCGAAATTATGTACACAGGGTCCCAGTTACATCCAACAATAAAATGTATAAGAAAAACAGTAATAACATCTAAGATATGAACTAAGAAAAACATCAACTAAATATACACTAAGCACTCATAACATAAAACATTGAACATCACCACAAACATGAACATGAGTCTGTGAGCAGATGTGCACGCATGAACACATCAACATTGAAACAGATCAGCAGCAACATGAAACAGATCAGCAGCAACATGATATGGTTTTTCACAGTGATTATTCTAGTTAGAGATTCATGAGTCTAACAGCCTCAGGGTAGAAGCTGTTCCTCAGTCTAGTGGTTCTACACTTAATGCTCCTTAACCTCCTTCCTGAGGGGAGTGGGGCAAAAAGTGTGTGTGCTGGGTGGGTGGGGTCCTTCATGATGCAGGTGGCCCTCTTCCTGCATCTGGAGGTGTAGATGTCTGTGATGGTGGGGAGACCGACTCCAACAGATTTTATATTTATTTTAATCTATACCTCTACTAATTATACAGATATTGAGCCAAAATTTGGTGCAATAGTTGAATCATTCACAACAAATACTCTGAGATGTTGTGCACAATCTTTCTTTGAACTTTACCAATGACTGTTGGTGATGATCCTGTTTTGTCTGTTAGCGAAACATCTCCTGAACCACTGGATGGAGTTTTATTGATAAAAAAAATCAACACTAGCCAACACAAATAGGCCTATGATCCTATCAATTTTGAGGATAGTGAGATAAAATTCACTGTGGTAGTAGCTGAGAGTCATTCACAACTCGTACACTGAGCGTGACTTCCCTAAATTTTATTTTTTTTGTTTGATCAAAATTAATTTGGTCAAACAGAAACCATCTTATTACCAGCAAACCATTTTTTCCCCCACTATGGGAGTGTGGTATTTGTGGGACTCCAGTTTGTTTGTGGCTCCTCATACTGAAGAAGTCCTTTGGATGAAGGACGAAAAATCTCAGCAAAGGAAGAAACTATCCAGATGTGACATGGTTGGAATTTGTACCTGGATTATTGAGCATGGACTTTTTTTGGTTTTGAACCAGTTTGACTTGACTGTCGACGAGGAAGAGGGCTGGCACCAAAGGAGGGGGCATGCCAAAGACACCATCTTAGCACCAACTTAACTGGTTTGTTCCACTTTGGAGTAAGCTGTTTGGGGGAAGAATCAGTTTTGTTGTGTGTGTTTCCTTGACTGATGAAGCCTTCTGGATGGAAGGTGAAACGTTTCAGAAAAAAAAAAAAAAAACTGTCCAGATGACCTTACTGAAAATTGTTGGATTGTATACCTGGATTATTGAGCATGGATTTTTTTTTTTTTACTCTTTTCAACAGGCTTTGTGCCAAAATATACAATTTTTTATTAATTCTTTTCAACGGTTTTTCGTAAATTACATGAAAAAAAAAAAAAACTAAAGTCATCCGTGTAGTTTATGCAACTTTTCAACCTTGGGTTATTCATAACTTTAAGTTAAGTGGCTTAATAAACAGAAAAAATGCAACCATTTGAAAATGGCCACTTATAAAGAGTTGACTGAAAATGAATAAAAAGCAGACAATGTCCAAAAAAAACCCACAAAAACTAGAAAACCTTCAGAAAACTGGGACCACTTTCAATAATTACATAAACCTTTGGCTCTTTTAGGGAGAAGCTTGTGTGTTTATCTGAGTGTGCTCGGTGGGGACGTGATTGATTTGAACTCTGGTAATGATTTTAATTTACCAGATCACTGAAGCAGAAAAACATGTGGGAATGACTTTAAAACTAAAATGGGCAACATCTCCTTCTTTTACTTGTTACAGTGGCAGAGGATAGGAACGGAAGCACTTTAATTTTGTGTCACTTGTCATCTGCAGCATTAAAACTTCTGGCGGGTTAAGTGAAAATACTAATAATCTCATTACAATGTAATGTTCTGCTCAGATTAGCAAGATTATGAACGTTTCTACACCATGCTTTTCGTAATCAGAGGAGTTTTGTTTTGGCCACTAAGTTAAACTCTTTTATATTAAACAGGTGGTTTTAATAATCTTTTCATTTTCATGTATAAAGATTTAAATAAAAAGTCAAATAAGACTTTATGACCCAGACCGAAAAGAAAAGTGAGCTTACCCAACACCTGAGAGGAGACGGCAAAACAGGAAAGTGCTGTAGCCCTGAACGAAGGATGAGAAAAAGGAGAAGATGCTGTTGATGGAGAGAGAGATGAGAAGAGACTGACGACGGCCTATCCGGTCAGCCAGAGCCCCCCAGAGGAAAGCCCCGACCATCATCCCAAAATATACGATGAGCCCTGGTGAGGAAGCAAAAAAAAAAAATGACTCAGTTTCGAGCATTTAACATTTAAAGATTTACATTTATAATGTTGTGTACCAGGAAAGATGTCAACTGCTTCTGCAAAATGCAACTTTTTTAAAACAATAAAAGCCCCACCTTTAAGGTAACATTTAACTCATATGACCTCTTATGTGTTGTTTTACACTCAGTGTCCATGCTCCATGCATTGTTTCCTTTTACATGTGTTTTTGTGGCAGTGTTATAGCACCACTCACAGGCCTGGCATAGTTACTACAGCGTTTTGGGTTGTTTTTGGTGTTTCCATGTGGATGAGAACATTTATAGAAAAGGGGATTTGTTTAGCAAAGTCAAACAGAAAGACTGCCTTGGAATAACTGGGTTTCCATGTGAGCAAGGCCTAAATTTAAATATAGCAAATATTACACATATATCAGAATTATGGAAAAACAGGCATTGAGATAGATGTTTTGTGGTTGTTTATTTATCATTAAATAGATTTAGTGCATCCCTGAGCTTGAGGATGTGTATAAAATATAGCTGCAACCCTCACAGTTTCATCCGTTAGTTGTAAATTTGAATGTTGGAGTTTGTCTTTTTGGACTCAAAAATGCAAGAAATGGAGCTAACTTACAACCAAATTCACTTTGTGCAGCTGCTGAGTAGCATAATTTAAGGAAATCCATTTTGTAAATCTCGTCACGAGTGGTTTATTAGTTGCACAGAACAAAACATTCTTGAAAAAAAAAAACTCAACATTTTGTAAATAACCTGATGTAAAAAATAAATGTACCAAAAGAGTTTGAGGTGAATTTTCTGCATTGCCCCAAGTGGCAGCTTCAGGTACTGCAGATTTTATGACTTATTGGCTTTACTTTTTGGTGACAGAGGTTGCAGTGTGGCTTGAACTTCATTTTTGCTTGTTTTCCCCCTTTTCCCTACATTTTATCTATTTATTTGCCTTTAGTTCCTAAACAAGCCTGTTTCATGCGTGACTTCTGCACACTCCTAACAAATGTATCCATGTAAAAAAATAAAATTAAGCAGTGTTGATAACAGTTCCTTGACATCTTCTTTCTGGTACGCTCTGCTGGTGTATGTAGGAGCATCTCAAAATAAACGTGTGATAGGCGTGATGAAGGCGCATGTGGCCAAGAGCGACAGTGACTCATTTGGGGGTTTAAAATAGCACGAGTACTAAGCATTGCCACTACAGAGGGAGGCCTTGAAGGCATCACTAACACAAAAAAATTACTATTACTCTTTAATGAAACTGAAAATGCTCTGTAAGACACATGCAGCACCATTTGAGGCTTACCAAGCATGCTTTTGTTGGGTTCAGACAGACACATGTCCTTCTCTGCGCTGGGGAGGACAAACCCCACCACAAAGATTTCGACGCCGTCTGCCATGAGCGCCAGCCCCAGAACAAAGTAGAGCGACCACTGGAACTTCCCATGACCACATTCTTGTAAAATGGTCTCGTACTGCTGAGCCAGCTCCTCCTGGTCCTTCCGCCTCTCTGCCTCCAACGCACCGATATCTCTGAACTGCTGCGCTCCGGCTGCCATGGACCCCGGCCCTCCAGCCAGACTCCCCTTCCCCGAATCAGCTCTGGGGATCCCTTGGTACTCGCCCTCGTAGATCTCGTCATCCTCGTCGTGACCCTCCGTGGAGTCGCTGTGGCCGCCCTCGTCTTCGTTGGCCGCCTGGCTGTCGCTGCGGTAGTAGCCTCCATCCTGGCTCCCCTGCATGGGGTAGTCGTCATCATCATCTTCCTCAAAGCGGCTGTAGGATCGCCTGCTGTACTCGTCGTTCACCCGATCCACGGAGCGGCCCACCTTCTTAGAGGCTTGCCGCTTGACTTCTTTGGCAATGTCTTTGGCACCTTTAATGAAGGCAGTCCGGTTTTGGTAGTTGTCCTCCATTTCCGAGACGTTTCAGGAGAAGTGAGGTCAAAGGTCAAGCTGAGAGGCCCCTTGTGCGTGCGTGGGGCTTCAGATTGGTCAGGATGCACTCCAGAGATTTAGTGTTGATCCTCAAATCAGTTGGTGCTCCGTGTGTCTGAGGAGGGAAGAAAGATGAAAAAAATTAAACCAAGTTTAAATAATGAGTAAAACGACTGGTCACAGAGTTTATCAGAAAGGTTGCTGGTTATCAAACCTGTCAGATTACATTCCAAGAAACTTTTTATCCCACATACAAATTACCAAATGATTGGACCCGTTCGTTCAAGGGATTGGGAGCCGATGCTTCAAATGAAAACTTGACATTTATACTTGAAAAGATCACGAGACGAGAAAAAAATATACAAAATGCACAAAGTGACAATGGAGGAATATAAAATGACTACAGGTGGGCTCAATATGTGCACATAAAGCTGGATTACCGTATTTTTTGGACTATAAGTGGCACGGATTATAAGGCGCATTAAGCAAAACTAAGACATTTTGACAGATTTTTGAGCGCCATGTGCCACATAAAATTGGTTGGAGGTCTGTAAGCACAACCAGAATTAATACATAAGGTTCACTGTTGATTTTTGAGATAATTAAAGGATTTTAAGTGTGCCTTATAGTCCGAAAAATATGGTAAATGTAAATATAAAGTAAAGTTTAACATAAAAAGATATTTATGTAATTGTTCTAGATATAAGCAATTATTGATTTAAGTTAAATGACTAATTTAATTATTATATTATGTTTCTTTATGGGATGTTTCTGTTCACAGAAGACAGGTATAGAACCAGAATGGACTCGTTGAAAACCAGTGTTTGTGTTTTGTTGCTGTTTTAACATCAGATACAACAAAAGACAGAAAAGATGTTCACTGCTTTGCAGACTTTGGTGCATGTACAGCTTTTTATTTGTTCTTTTCTTTTATTAGTTGTTTGTTTTTGTTGAGTTTGAGAAATCTAGGGAAGTTCAGGCAGTTTTTGAGGCATATTTAGTAAAAAAAAAAATTAAAAATTTAACAAAATTCTTATCAAAAGGAGTAGGACAGATTAATTAATAAAAACATGTCAGTCCACTTTGGCTATGGCTGCCTCAGAGGAGTCGACGGGGGAGAAGGCGAGCTCCAGAAACCATCTTATCACCATCAAACTGGTTGGTCCACTATGGGAGTCTGCTGCTTGTGGGACTAAGTGTCTCCTCAGACTGATGAAGTCCTTTGGATGAAGGAACAAACGTCTCATCAAAAAACGAAACCGTCCAGAGAACGTGACTTAAATTTGTTGGATTTTTTTACCTGGATTATTGAGCATGAACTTTGATGTAGGTCTAGCTTTTTTTTAAGAAAGAAAAAAGATGTTTATTAAGGTTTTACTTTCAGGTAAACAAGCTCTGGCCATGTTCCTTCATAAAAATAACAATTTAAAAAAAGAGCTAATTGTTAAAATTACTGCAATGTTTTGTACTAAGCTGATTATTTTTCAAGAACAAATCTCATCACAAAACTAGGAAATTGCTACTTTTTTTAACTTTTGCCATCAACCAAAAATGTTGCTCAAAAATGTGATTTCTTGGAAACAGAACTGGGATAAACACTGAGAAAGATCCACTCTGTAAATATGAGGCGAGACATGAAGCATCCAACAACTCCTAACGAGGCTCGGAGTGGCTCATTTGGTGAAACAAATGTTTTTTTATTGTGTTAACATTGTTTCTGTGCATGAGGCTGACCCTTAAAATCCCCAAATCTTGCACTACATTTCAAAGTAGGAGACAGAAATCCTGTGAAAGGATCCAAACAGTTTCAGTAAATGAACACGAAGAAGTATTACCGTATTAATAATACATTAGATTTTAAAAGAAAGTCAATTAGCGAAGGCCCACTGCGTCAAACTTTGTGTACACAATGAAAAATCAGCTTTGAGGATGATACATTAGCAGACGAAATAAGCTGTGTGTAACAGCAAACGATCCTTGAAATTAAAAAAGCAGTAAAGCAGACGTCTGTTTCACCCGTGGGCTCTAAAGGCACCTGTTGTTTAAAGAACCTTTGTGAGGCTTCACATGTTCCTGCAGCTGACGAGCCCGACTCACGTCCATATGCTTCTGTGTGGGGACGCTGGGTGACCGTGCAATAAGACGACATGTCACTTTGGATTTGTGTTGCAGCCAAACGGCAGACAGCCAATCAGCAGACGTCTCTGTACTCCCACCAACGCTTCATAAACAACCTCTGACAGGTAATACCGACCCGACAGAGGCTCAGTGTGCACAGAACCAAATGGATGATCATAAAGATTCAGAGAGAGATTAAAGCTTTTCTGACTAGGCTTGAAAAAGTCAGGACCTCTCTGTGAAAAGTCTCCTAGCTAGGCCGGTCACGATAAACAATAAATCAATTAATCGCATGATAAATGAAAATTATCGACCTCATTTTCATTTAGCAGCTTTATCGTTTCTTCGTCTCTCTCTTTCTACTGAAGACACTGGATGATAAAAAGCTCATCTCCAGTGTTCGTCACTGACCCCTCCCTTTTCCTTTTCTCTTTAAAATCTGTTTTAACCGTCCAAAATCGTGTTTTTGGCTCGTTAAAAGCAGCTAAACTGAGAAGCTAAGCTACGAGCTAAGCTAACAGGCTGACCTCGGGAAAAAAAACTCCCTTTTGTCGAAGCTCTAAAATTCACGGTTGAAACCCGTGCCTTCGTATAAAAAGTTGTTTTGATTTTTTTATTAAAAGCTTTATGTGACAAGTGCTACGCTAAAGAGCTCAAACCAAGCGTCCGCCATTTTGAGAACCCAAGAGAGACAGCCCATGTCACGTCAAGAGGCCTCCCTCCCATTTTTTTAAAGACACACGCTGCTCACTCTCTCACTATCCATCCTTAGGTTCAAACAGTCTTATACTGCCATCAGGTGGTTGAAAAAGGTACTACATGCAAAAGAAATTAAACTTTTCTTCTTAAATTTGACAATAATTACTAATTATTGTCAAATTTCAAACAAGTTTATCATTTATCGCAATAATTTCAGAGACAATTAATCGTCCAGCAAAATGTGTTATTATGACAAGCCTATCCTAGCGGCGACACTAAAACCTTGCTATTAATTTTGCCACGTCTAACTAAAAGCTGTAAAATAGTTTAATTTGACCGCTAACGTAATACAACTATTGGAATTATTTTTGTTCAGAACAGGGTCATGAAACATTTGCTTTAAAAAAAATAAACCTAAAATTATGTTTTCTGATCATATCAAGTTTGCAAAATATGGTTAATCAAATAAATAAATAAAAAATCTCCTTTACCTTTCACAATTTCTACTTTAACCATTGAAATGACAAACCTGAAGCTCATTTCAGCTCTACAGCTTTAGATTTAGACAATCAAGATGTCAAAGGGACGGTTTAAACCTGCTGAAGTGGGGTTCTATGGAGAGATTATGAATAATTAACATCCTATCTGTCGCAGATAGCTGTCAGTTTGGAGAAATAGTCTCATTCTAACCACACTGATGAGCCTGTGTGCAGTTGAAACGAACTGCTGCCTCATTAAAACGACTAACGCCTCAAAGATTTCACAACAGTTCATTCAGATGCTGTGTGAGAAACTAATACTCCATCAGTTTGTCTTACATGCAGCAGAAATATTGTGCTATTCCAGGCTGCAGACATTAAAAGATGTGAACCTCTTGAATTATGTTTTAAATCTATTACTGTATTTTTCGGACTATAATGCATACGTAAAATCCTTTAATGTTCTCAAAAATCAACAGTGAGCCTTATAGTCCGGTGCACCTTATGTATTAATACTGGCTGTGCTTACTGACCTCGAACTGATTTTATGTCGTACAACTGAACAATGTTGAAAGTTACTGTGAATGTGTTGAATAAAGTTTGACTTATCTGACTGTTCTGTTTTGCTTAAATTGCCTTATAATCTGAAAAATACAGTAAACTTTGTCGTATTTAGTTCGTTTTTCTGCATGTCAATAGATTACATTGCACTTAAACGATGGCATTTTTTAATTTGCATCAAATTTGCTGAGACTCAATGTCGTGTCCATGTGTGCACACACTTTTGATTCGCTCGTATTGTTTTATCCACAGATCCATTTCCTTTCAGAGGGCAGCAGATATTTTCAGTGTCAGATCAAAGAAGCACAACAGGCCTGATCAGCCAGGCTAAAATGTTTGACCCAAACGTAACTCGATCATCTCTTGGGTCGACGGGCTCTGGTATCTTTATCTCCTCCAAAAAACAACCAGACTTTGTTCAGTCATAAGAGCATTTTCAAGCTCTAGCACTTCCATACAGAGAGAGTTACTGTACCTACTGTATTTACCCTAATGAGACTTCTATGCTTAAAAGGACAGGACTTTTAAGCATAGATATTTTTGTTGTGGAGTTCTGTGGAAAGGTTGTCAATAAGTACAAATATCTTACCTGTTGTAGATAGCTCTTTCAACAACCTCAGATTGGAATAATGGAGCTACATTCTGATCAGATGTTGAAATCTGAATGAGGCAAAGACTAAAGTGGGCCACTGTCATCTTTAAACAACTCCAAACTCTATTTTATAAACCTTTACACTGAAGTGCCAGTGACACACATGTACAAATATAAAAACTGGAAGAAAATATCCCAATATTTAGGGGGAAAAAATTGTCGTAATATACATAATTTGACCAATTCTGTCACGTGCATATATGTTTTAATTTGGCACAGCAAAAGTGAAACAGGAAGTGACATCAAAGGGGAAGTCTTTAAAATGGAGAACTTGCTGGTCTTTGTTTATTTACTTTTGCTTATTGAACTCTGTCTGACTCGTAGTTGTCTCAGAGACTCCAAATAATCTAAAGAAACATCAAATTCTTCTCTAATGTCTGCATGCAGCCATTAATGCTCTGTTTACATGCAGATGTTCCCCATTGTTATCACTTCCTGTCGCTGCACATGCAAACATCTCAACAACTGTTTATCTCAGCGATGTAAAATTTTACTTGCAATGGTTTATAATGTTATATTTCAAGAGATGTTTGTATTTATCACAAAAAAATATTGTCACAGGCACTTTAAAGTCATTTTCACATTATATATTATTTGGGCAGGAA